AATTAAGCCAAGTTAAAAAATTTAAGATCACTAAAAAAAAATTCCTCGAAATAGCCAAAAGTCCTGTATGACGCCCCTTTGTGCCATTGTACCAAACCAAAAAATAATATTAAAAGAAAACAATGCGTTTTTTTGTAATGATATTATATTTTTTTTGAGTTTCTTATGTTCCTCTTACTGAAATAACATAAATAAACACACTCGGCTCTTAATGGTTTAATATTTTACATAAATCATAAGCTCACATATTTATAAACTGACTGAGTACGGGTATCAAAGTAGAGTCGCGGCCACAGCTGCGACTCACAACGTTCCTTCTCGTTAAAAATTGTTTCAGTACAAAAAAATATCGTCGTAGCAAAAACTAAAAACAATATATGTTATAATAACATGGGGAAGATCAAAATTCTGCAATGAAACCCAACATTGGAAAAATTAAACAAATCAAAAATTAAATACGTAAATCTAGCTATGATTAAAAAGCCGTTAAGAAAATTGTTCGATAGCCGGAAGAGGGTTTTACATCAATATATATGGGTATTACTTTTTCATCTATCGTAGTTTACCGATCCGTCTCTAATTTCGTAATAGAAAAAACACATCAGGCCATCCTGTTCCCCAAGACAAGTGCCTCCGCTCTATTTTTAGGTACTCCTTGTTAAACGGATGTCTAGGATGTCTCAAGCGCTGCGAGGAAGCAGAGCGGCTGGTAAGTGCCCAGGCCCAAGGAGCCCTTGGGAACCCTGGCAGATGGCGATACCCAAATGTGAGGATTAGATTCGATTAGAATAATAAATAAACAAAGCCTAATTATTAAAAAAAAAAATTAATCATGAAATTCGCTCAATATTTCAATACGCTCAATACTTTTACGAAAACATGTTCAGATTGTAGGCGACTATTTTTTGTTGCAAGTGGCGAAGCTTTGAACATCGATAGGTTCTGAGCGGATTGTATTTACTAAGTCGCGAAAGTAAGGCATGCATTAAAGCAGGGATCGGCCCGCATACACTCTCATGCTTTAGTGCGTTTGTGTGCGAAGACAACAGATACGAATATGTTACTTATTTCTCTGCCGCTTCGGAAGACGAGCAATTCTCTGTCGAGCCACACGAAGCTTTTATGCCGACTGCGCTGACCGAAATTCACAGTCCATATGACTCTACCGGAACCTGCATTAGAGCCCTGCATGAATCTACATGATTCATAAAATCAGTATTCCCATGCCCCTGCAATGTGTTTGATCATTACGAATCCTGCCGCCTTCAGTCAGATTCGAATCACCCCGCCGACTCACTAAAAACCGAGTCCGAGCATTGCTGAAATTAGCTAGCTTCTTTCCCAAGTCTCAGAATTGACTCAAATCATGCTGAGGAATTGGGCGAGCGATTCGAAGTTATAAGAAAGCCGAATCGCTGATTCAATCGGATCGGTCGAAGCGAATACCGCATCCCTCCGAATCGGTTGCCCTTTCATGCAGGGCTCTAGAATGCATCATAGGCGTTTACCAGAACTCAAAACATGATGGATGAAATCTATCTATCCATCGTGGTGAACGCGCCAAATGTATCATGTATCCAGAAAATGTTCGTACTATTTTTAGTATCGTAATATATCCATCATTTATCGTAGGCATTAGAGTCATCAAGAGTATACGTATTTACGTTTCTGGCCTAACGATGAAAAAACCAACATTGGTGGTTGAAAACGGTTCTATCGGTTTGAACATCGCTCTCCTGGAAGTTGAAAGTAAAAGGTGGGGTGAAAGTAACCTTCTTGACCGACAAAATGCGCTGGTAGCGCAAAAAAATTATTGGTGAATATGGTCCAGGGCTCGGCACGGCCCATCTAATGGGTATAGGAAAGGGCGCTGCTGCCGCCCACATACACGTGTATTACAGTGGTTGGCATCAATACCATCTTCCGTTTTTCCTGCTGTCTACGCACACAAACGCATTGCAAACCATGTGATTGCAATACAATACGCAATACAGTGATTCTCCTTCTTTTTTTTTTTACCAATTTTTGCTTTTGAGCTGTTTGGCATTATGTTGCGTATGGAAAAAGACTATTTTCGATCTCTCATAAAACATAATTTTTTAAGAGTAAAAACAGCGAAGGAAATCAAACAAAAATTTGGTTAAATAATATGGGGCTAATACTCCTACCGATTACAACGTAAAATATTGGTTTCGAGAGATTCGTGAGGCCCTCCTATTCGGTTACCCAAGAGAATGTAAAAAAAAAAAACCAATATATGATCGGAAAGTGAAGGTGCGCGAGCTAGCAGATACCACACGGATTAGTACTGAGCGCTCTTATTTTGGACGAGATTTAATGACTCCGGACCAAAAACGCGAAAACGAGCGCACTTCTAAAGTGTTTGGCCATTCTGATGAAGAATCAGGCGGACTTTTAACGTCGATGGTATTAGTTGATTAAACTTGGATTCAGAAACTGCTCCATAAAACATAATGAGTACAAGGGCTCCGAAACGGCCGAGGGAGACTTAATGGGTCGGAAAGGTCATAGCGTCGGTTTTCTGGGATTGCCATGGCATACTCTTCTTGTATTACCTCGAATAAGGACTTTATTTCACTATTAGAAAATTCAGCTCGCGAGAGATCATCTGCGTCGCGGAGAAGTATTTTGAAGATCTTTCGGAAAACTACGTTTCGCACGGGAAAAAATTGGAAGCGATGGAATAAGTGTATCAGTGTATTTTATTTTTTCATTCCCAACTTTTCATCCCACCTGCTTAGTATCTCTAAAACAAGACTTAATCAGCCTCTTTCGGCGTCAAAAACATTGAACAATCAATTTTTTGTATAGCTGGGAACAAAAAGATCCCATTCGATGTGAGGACATTTCTGCAAGGCAGATGACCCCTTGATTCGATGTTTCGGATGCTCAACAACTCTGTTGAGTGGGGCGATGTGTGAGAGGTCGGATTGTGGTATTAGAGTACAATCCGTATTTGTAGGTTAGTTTTCCACAATTATCGTAAGGCCATAAAATAGGTTTTTGCCACTCAGAATTTATCTTCCTACATTTCTCTATCAAAAAGGTTGTGAAATCACCAGTTGCTGTTGACAAGTTCCCGACCAAACAGGCGACCACTTGATTGAAAATGGTTCGTTGCGAATGCTTTTGTCGTAATTGGTATGCGTCACTTATGTAGATGCTATACCTAGTTTTTAAACCACCACGATCATATTTTTATATAGTTTTCTTACAGCAATCGACACGAGACCCTTTTAAGCCGATTTTTCAATTGTGTGGGATCCCACGCGAACACACCTTTTGTACAACGAGGTGATGGGTGATGATCGATTGTTTCGCGCATGCTTCCAACATGGTAGAAAATCGTGACACAGAAATGTGCATGTGCTAATTTCAATTTCAATGTCATGTGTTAATTTGAATTTCTATGTTATTTCGAATCCGCGGAGTCTGCACATGATGGCTGGATCTTTTTGGCTTAAACGAAGTTTGAATCACCTCTTGCAAAAGGACTTCTGCGAGGCTGAAATCAATGATCATATCAATTTACAAGCCATTCATCCAACCTGACCTATCTAATTTTGAGGCGCTTGTGTCCCAGGCTGGACGTCCAGACCAATGCAATTATATGGCTTTCAGGTGGTAAGCACGGTCGGGAAAATATCTACGCGAGATCGCCCGTACATTATTTTGAGTCAGGTTAACCAAGACATTGGGCGCGTTCATTAGCACAACTTGATCAGCGCTTAGTAATGGATTTCATCCATCATATTTTGAGTGCTGGTGAACGCCTATGATGCATACCATACTATCGCGACGTCGGAAACACAATCGGCTCAGAGCATATCGATATTGCCTTCATGTATGATTTTGTATTACTCTTGCTAAGTTTTTTACTTTTTATTCGCGATTTAGTGCGTATTGTAATCGAAATGCCAACTATCGACCTATAAGCAAATTATCTCTGCAGGTGCTGGTATGTGCTATACAAATTTTTCATCGACGAAATCTAATGTGGAAGGAAGGCTTAATACATCGATGTCAACTATCGATCCAGGCCAAAGGCAATCCATAATGTTTTGAAACAATGGAGTGTACTATTTGTAGATAGCCTTGACTTTTTGAGCCGCATAAGCTTAACGATTCCTATTAGACCAACTAGAAACGTTTCCTTTGTCCTCTATACTTTGTAGATCGATTTATTCCTTGCATGAACCGTTTAGGGTGCTCGGTTTAATGCTCGGATTATAATTCCCTCTACCATATAATTTCCAATACTAATTGACTTCCTCTTCTTAAATCACTAATTTGTACTAACATACTTTTCCCGTAATTAGTATTATTTTTTGTTAGTTTTGCATGTTTAGCTCATTTAGCTGTGTTTAGCTCTAATATTAGTATATATCCTGCATGTTCGCGACCGATTTGGTTACACGCGTCTTTCGTCAGCGCCCCTCGGTAGGTTTGGAGGGAGAAGGTATACATCTCTGCCTGGGATTCGCGAGTAACAGTCTTCGGCTTGGTGTTGAATGTGACACTTGATGGTGCAGTCATTGCAACGTCCATAGAAGTAACCTTTACAACCAAAAACGAACGGAAAACATTGAGCCGCGGCCAACGCGTCGAAATTTTGGTGCCGTGTATGAATACAAAGCATTGCTTGCCTATACTCGGAGCAATTACAAAAACAAAAGAGCTCGCGGAGCAATGGGCTGGGCAGCCCTGTCCTATATTCTCTTAGAACTAGGCAAAAAACCAGACGGACAGACAGGCCCATGGCTATATGGCTTTTGATGCTGATCAAGAATATATGTATGTATATATACATATATGTAAACTCTTTCTTCTGTGCGTGACACAGATCCAATTCAACCACAAAAGTAAACTCTTCGGCTATCGGGTATAAACAATGACAAGTGGCAGAGCTGTTTTTCTATACAGTTTTTTTAACAACAAAATAAGCATAACAACTTGTGGTATTTTTTTTGTATGTTTTTATTATTTAAATGAAGATTTTATATATTATGCCACTCTTGCATAAGTTAAAAACCATTTTTTTAACATTAAATATTTGTATTTACATTACACTAACATTTTTTTGATTATTAACTAGTTGAAGTAGTACTTCGACAATGAATAGATTTAAACCAGCTTCGTTTAGAAAATCTAAATTGTTTGTAAATTACTATTGTTTTAAATGTGTCTGTTATTCCTCTGGTGCTGATCGCATGGGAAAAAAGAAGAGCGATTCATAGAGTTTTGCATAGTGTTGCTCTGATTCCTCGTTAATGCAGCGCTGTCAAACTGATTATACTGATATCCATCCAGTCCAAATCTATGTCGAAACGAAAATTCGTTCGTGGGGTTAGGAGGATTAAAGGTTGTATTATTCAAGTGAGCAGCATTGGCAGAAGAGTTATCACCAGTCAAATTTCTTATGGAGTTTTGTGTCAACACGTTGTTATTATGACTTGAGTTATAAACCAAATTTCCTGGTTGAAATGTCTGCGCTGTATTTTCCATTATGCCAGTATCTAAATTTTCGAATTCATCCAGACGTTTTTTTTTCTCAATCATAGAGTACACATGCAGTATTTTTTGAAGTTCATCCCTGTTTATAGATGTTTTGCCTTGAGAGATCAATGAAGAGGCTAGCTTTGCTGCTAGTTCTCTCTTATCAATGGGCGCTTGAACATTATATATATTTTTGATACCCATATGATTATCTATCTTTTCAGTTATTTGATGAACTGAGTTAAAGTTCTTTGAACTTAAATTTATGGTGCTTATTGAATTCTCTACGTTTTTAAGTACGGCTTCGGTGTCATTGATCGCTTTTTTAATGGCTCGTTCCTTGGCAGGATCATATATTTTGGAAATTAGTATTCCTGTAAATTTCTCTTTTGCCGTTTCTAATATGGCACAATTCTCAGATGTTAGCAATAGATTCTGGACATTATCTGGATCAGCCTTCTGCGTCAGCAATGCTTTAGTTAACATTTCTGTGATCGAAGGTCCCAAACTTCCTAAAAATTCCTCGAGAGCAGTTAAAAGACGAAGTACGTGAATAATCTTTGTGTTGTCATCGTCAGCGTGATTGTCCAGAAATACCTTAGATGTTCCCATGGTTTCCATACTAATATTCATTTTCTCAGGTGTACGAACGTGATAGTTTGTATTCATCAATTCGTCATTAGTCATTGGCAAACACAACCTATCTCGACATTTGAGTTTAATATTCTCCATGTCACGATTGTACAATTCTTCAAGACGCGCGTTAAAGAAAATAATCCATTCATTTTGAAAATTATAAGACCGATGGTTGATTCCCGACAGTATAAGCTCATCTTTGCGTCTCTTCCAGAAGGTTTGCCACTCTTCTTGATAAAGAGGATGCTGTTCCGGATCAGACTTGTACACCTCAAAAGATACGTTCAACTCGCGCACTTTTTGATCAACCATGTGTCGGTACGCCTGCCAAATATCACCATCTCTTAGCGGGGATAGTGATAACGATCTGCGTTCTGTGTTGTATTGCCTTTTCAGTTCTGGGCTAGGAATTTTCTTCCATCGCTCTGATGAATGAGACCGCGATCGAGCTCGTTTCAAATTTCGAGATTGCTGTTTCGATGAACCCAACGATTTCCTGGTATCTCTTAAAAAGTTTTCAACCAATCGTTTGTGTGTTTCATCATCAACGGTCTCCGTAAAAGGTGTTTCAGCAAACTTCGTGTAGTTAAAATAGGCGTTCGTTGCATAGCTTGCACCCTGAGATATATTTATGTTTTGAGATTCACATAAAGTGGCATTCGAGTTAACAACATTTACTGTCTGGTTGCTTTTTTTTCGAGCATTTTCCAATAGTTTTTCAACATCTTTCGAATCGATGACATGCGTAAACGTCGGTCCATTTTTTTCTGAGAAATGCCGTCTATTATAAACTTTTCCGACTACAGCTGGACGATTTTTTTTATAAAAGTTTTCATAGCAAAGGAAGGCTGTTTCCCGACCATGATGCTTCTCAACGGCCGTTGCTAGTTTATCTAATATGGGAATCATTACTTTACATACATCACTTTCAGGAACTTCCGAGACATATAGTCGGTACTGTCGCATGGCTGTAGGAAAATGCTTCTCAAAATATTTGAGGCGGTGATTGTAGCCAAGTAAGTGGGTATGCATCGTAGCCTCGTCAGAATTAATCTCACATAAGCTGCATTGATATCTGGCATTCTTATCATTTACGTTTCCTACTACTTTTATAACGTATTCGACGCCTACAAGTCCCAAAATTTTGTTTGGATTTTTCTTAGATTCAAAGGTAAAAACACTTGACCCTGATGATGATGTTTTTGACTCCTTTAAGCGAGAAGCTATACCTATAACCGGTATTATTTCATCAATCTTATCTAAGCATTTTTTGTTTGCGATTATTTCAACATTCGATAAGGATTCTTTTGTGTTCTGACCTTGTCTAATATTATTGTGTGCATTTTCTCTTTTGTTACTCTGTTTAGCTTCCTCCTCCTCCTCTATAATAATGACATCGCTTTTACCTTTACTTATTTCGTTGGACTCGGCGGCACCAAGAAGTTTTGCAAGCGGAACACACGAAATTTTCGTAGATAGTGGATTTTTGACTATGCTTGGTATATTCAGATTATTCTGGGACACTGGCGCTTGACTTTGTCTTATATTCTGCACCGTTTTCGTAGTTTCCAGACAGGGTTCTACTTCAGCAATCCCTTGAGAATGTGGTACTTCTTCAGAAATTGACTTGAGCGCGGAGTTTGACTTCTTGCTATCATTTTTCGGACCATCACAAAATATTGTCGGGTTTAGTGAAGCCGCGGGCGTGTTTTCTGTTGTGACTTTTTTCAAAGAATCTACAACTGTTCCCGAATTCTTTTTTTTCGGTATATTGTCATTAATAATTGGACTTGTTTTAGATTTTAATTCATTGGACGAATCCGTACTGTCTTTACTCTCGCATTGAACATTTTTTGCGTTTGTAAAACTTTTTGAGCCACTGCTTGTGTTCTTTATTATTTCCGCATTTGGAAATGCATTTTTTTTAAAAAGTTGATGTTTTACTTGCGATTTTGACATTTTTGAATTACTATTAGTGGGTGTAGTACCAGGGGTTAGATTCAAAAGTTTTTTATTTGCAACAGAAGAACTTTTAACAAGGCCTTTGTTATTTACGATAACGTTTGCTGCATTCAGTGATATTGAAGAGTCTGATCTCAGTGGAGTAGTAATTCTGTTGCGTATTTGGAGTTGTTTTATACTGGTCATGAGTAAGTTGTGCTTTTTTCCACACAGATGACTGAATAAATTCTTGTCTCCGTACTGAACAACGTTGCAAACATTGCAGAGATACATCTTCTTTAATGGGTTCGGACATACTACCATGATTTCCCATTTGTCTATTGTTTTTCGACGAAACTCAAAAATTAATACCTCTTCCAATGATATGGTTGACAACATCTCCAGAAATTGTGTCCCATCGATGGGCTTATGGGTTCTAATGTTATTGGTACTCATCTTTCGCTTGCAATACTAGTACACAAAGTGATATTCTGCGTATGGCTCACAGCAATTTTGAAAGTTATATTCAAGTTGTTTATTATTTGTATCTATTGATATTAACTTCAGTTATTGAGTTGCTATAAAATTGAAGGAAAAAATACTTTTATATAAAATTTAAACATTAAACAACCAATCTTAAACTTATTTATATTAATATTTCATTCGGTTCATAAATCTATATTTATAGTATAAACATTTCAATAACAAAAATATCTGTAATTACATATGCTATTTTTAAGAGTACTCGAACTCCATCATTCTGGCTTCTCAAATGATTTTTCCTAATTATATTAGGGTATGAAGTAGACAAATAACATTCACAATGGGCGAACAAATTATGGTAATATTGCCTGGGATAATTTCGTTTTGGATTCTACTAGAACTTAGAAATAAATCATAAGGTATCGATTTCTTTAATAGATCGTTAGAGGAAGCAACTAAAACTAAAACTGGCCTGTACTAGCTTTACATTTTCTTTTCTAAGTCTCTATTAATACGAGAACTATCTTTCGATAATTCGTCACTTTCTGATTACAATTTGAAGCTTCTTTTGATAAGATCATAACACGTCAATTCTTAACACTGAGAGTCCGAAAAAAAACATTGTTTTATAAACATAATGCAAAGGGGACATAAAAAGCAATTACATTTTTTTGTTTACTCTTTGGTTCTGTTTTTCGCTGACCATCGACCCATTAAACCAATAACACGGGCGAAGAGGAAATGCTTTTCGGGTCTGTGGGACCAGCTGTGCCTGGTTATTTTTTCAGTTTTTTCAGTGAGCTGATCACGGTGGAAAAATGGGTTCAGATTTATTTGAAAGCTGTAGTTTAGACAGACAACGAATCAAGCTATATATTAGTGTCACTGATGTCAAGAATTTGAACGCACTAAGAGATATTGCAACAAATTGTATTGCACAGAATGCAAGATAAAAGATTTCGCTCCAAAATGTGCAAACTGTCTTTGCTCTAAAAGCAGGATTATGAAAATGCAAGAACAGATCCTTAACATCCTGCCAGTCATCAATCTTGTCCTTGCGAACAATAAAGTTTCTGGACTCGACTGATAACCGCATCAAAATTGATTCCTTGCAAGGCAATTATGTTTCTGGTTGCATTATTCAACGCCATCCTTCGCATCGGTCACTTCACCACTCAGTGGAAGTGCGCCCTGATTGTGATGATCTTAAGCCAGGCAAACAAGCGACAGTTCTTGAGTCGTACAGACCCACAAGACCCATACGCAGAGTGTAGGCAGAGAGTGGCGTAAAGGAAGCATTCCACTGCACCAATTTGGATTTCAAAGGCAGCACGGGACTACTGAACAAGTACACAGAGTTGCTCATCACATTCTCAACGCTTTTGGATCAAAACAGTACTGCTCAGGTTTGTTTTTAGATGTCAAACAAGCTTTCGATAAAGTTATACAAACTAAAGATTCTCTTACCCGCCCCGAAGTATTCAGTTTTGAAAATCGTTCCTGACTCAAAGAACATTCATCAATTTAATCAAGGATTAGATTTCTGATATTAAAATGATCAGAGCCGGAGTTCCTCAAGGCAGCGTTCTGAGGCCAATCTTGTTTACCCTATTCACATGCGACATGCCCTTACCTCACATCAAATTTCTGGTCGCAACTTAGGCAGACGACACGACACTTCCATTCTCTCATCTTCCACATGCTACAATGCCGTTGCTGATCAACTTCAAATCTACATCGGATCCGTGGATAATTGGGCAAAAAAATGGAATATAACCATAAATGAATCAAAATCAGTGAACGTAATTTTCACTTTGAGAAGTACGCACCCACCTGACCTAACATTTAATGGAAAAACTATTCCGCGCAAGACAATCCACTGCTACCTCGGTGTTCACTTCGACAGAAGACTGCCCTGATGACCACACATTAGAGCTACGGTCAATAAATGCCAAATACCACTATGCTGAAAGAGATCTCCACATCCCAAAAATTGGGGATTTGATTCGACAGCCGATCATTATCGACTGCTGTAAACCATCACAGCATCAAACCATCGGCTGTCGAATCAAATCCCCGTAGACTTAAAAGTCTACAACCAGTAGGCTTAAACGTCAACACCCATCTAACATAAAATGTAAAAAAATTTGTTAAGAGAAAATTTGTTTTTTAACCAAATTTTGTTTTTACGTATACAAACGCATTGCTTGGATAGCACCACACACCAGGAAAGCCCGTAAAACTTGCATTTTAAAATTGACCAGCCAAACCATTTTTTTCTATCAAGTTGACTGCATTGCCGACGCAATGCTCGATACTATATTTACATTTTCTCAGTCAACAATCCACAGCCACAGTTGGCTCCAGTGACATGATTTTTATACCCGTACTCAAAAATAGTTATGGGTAATTTGTGGTAAAAGTGGATGTGTGCAACGCAGAGAAGGAAACGTTTCCGACCCGATAAAGTATATATATTCTTGATCAGCATTAATAGCCGAGTCGATATAGCCATGTCCGTCCGTCTGTCAGTCCGTCCGTCTGTCCGTCTTAATGAGCGCCTAGATCTCAGAGACTATAAGAGCTAGAGAAACCAAATTTGGTTTCTAGACTCATGTGATATCACACTACTACAAGTGTATGTCAAAATTTCGCCCTGCCCCCTTCCGCCACCATAAAGGACGAAAATCTGTGGCAGGCACATTTTTAAAGATACGATAAAACTAAAAACGCAGTATCGTAGAGAATGACCATATCTACCAGATTGCTGAATCTGAACCAGATCGGATAACTAGAATGAAGAAATTAATTTTCAGTTGCTTCCCCCACGTCCTCCAGCAAGAGACCACGCTGCTTATTCTCTTTCTTTTCTTTATTCTCCACCTACCTCGTTCAGTGCGTGAGCGACCGCTAGCGGAGAAGATGTAGAATCTAAATGGTCCAATTAGAATATACATGTTAGATGTAGAATATACATTGTAGATGGAAATAACAGATGTAGCAAAAAAAAAATGTAAAATTTTGTAAAATTCTACATAAATCATAAGCTCAAAAATGTATACCCTATGGACACCTATTGGTGTGCTTTTTTTTTCTTTTTCAAAATAATGGCGGATATAGCGGGTATTAGCTGCCAGGCACTCAATTGAATATAAAACAAGACCTAAAATAGTGAAATATTGATTTAATTTAAACATTTATCTTCGTACACCTATTATTGTGTCCAGACAAAATTGACGGATTTAAGGAAATATTTAATTTTCTTGTAAATTAAAGGGTTTGTGAAACTGTTTTTACTTTTTCTTTAAAGACAATTAATATAAGTTTTGAAAAAACTTTGATTTGCTGAGATTGAAGAAGATATTAACTAGAAATTAAAAGTTGAAGTTATTGTGTCCAGACAAAATTGACGGATTTAAGGAAATATTTAATTTTCTTGTAAATTAAATGGTTTGTGAAACTGTTTTTATAAAAAGAAGGTATAAAGAAAGGTATAAAAGTAGAAGTTTTACGCACACGAATGCTTTTCTTTGCTGCAACAACTTTATTTATTTTGTCACACATCTCCTTTAAAAAATATCAGCGAGTGAAGCTACTAAGGGCTTGCTAGTTAGATCATAGTTAAATTTAAAATAAAAATGGTGCATTTTCGTTAGTATTGCTGGTTAGTTGATTCACCCACACACAACTGTTCAAATCAACCCAATTTATATCATATAAAATACCGATGCAGGGCTGGTTAAGAGCATTTTTCAGGACATCAGATTTATGTTTGATAAGGGTCGCCCAATTCCTCTGCGGTAGTGAGTGTGAGGGAGGCATATTTAGAGACAAATGGAAATTGTGTAACGAGCAATAACTGTCTCAGAGCTCTGGTTTTCAATATCGAGAAAGTAGTCGCGTTTGAGAGTTTGCCCACACCACGAGCTGCTTTGTCAAAATGGCCGATCCGTCAGGAAAATAAAAATCCAACATATACAATTTCAAAAAAAGTGTGTTGGATAGGTCGTATTTTCAAATATGAATGTGTCCATCTATGGCAAAAACTTTTTGTTGACTTTTAGTTGACTTGAGTATTGCGTTTCAGCTGCGTTCATTCGATTTTCTGTGTATTTCTGCCCTTTTCTGCCTATCATGGGAACTATCACCATAGGCACATTTATAAACAGTTATTGATATGACAAATAGAGAGTGTAGATAAATATGCATATAAGCTGTGTTCATTGAAATAGTAGTAGTAGTTTCTAGACCACCAAATTAAACAAGTGATACCTTTTTAGAATCCCATTCCATTTGCAGGAGGTATAGGAGGTATAGGGGTGTATGTGAAAGTCAGCGTATACATTACATTCCAGTTGAAAAATGCTTCTAACATGATTTTCTAACGGGATAATGATGCCAAAAACTCCCAAAAGCTAGCTAGAAATTGTGTTTTCTTGAAAAAGATCGACGTTTTGCATGTCCAACTCAGTTACTCAAGAAACATGGAGAAAATGTAACCTCGGTTTAAGTTTTGCTGTTTTTTTTTTTAGATTTTCTTAGAACTATTGCTATACTATTTCAATGAATAGCAGAGTTTTTGGGTATTTGCCAAAAGTCATGAAAACAAGATGGCATGCAAATGTAACGGGATTTCTTCGGGTTTCTAATGCTTATATTCTAGGCAGTCAAAAGGGGTATCACTTCTTCAATTTGGAAGAATAGAATTTGGAAAATAGTATTCCTTAAAAAAAATACATATGCCTTGTGATACGAAACTAACAGCCCGACAAAATATCTGCGAGGTTCGACATGCAGGCTGAGCGAGCTGTAGAAGAAATTGAGGTGGACAAAAATGATTATTAGGCTCGTTAGTACTATTCCTTGCAACTATCGCAAACAAAATAAGCAGACATGCTCCGGTTATCGGAAATCGAAATTTTGACTTAAAACCATCTGCTAATATATGTAATATATATAATAAATTTATAATCACACCTCATATTGCGAATTCCCGTTGACACACAAAACATACAGTATATATGTAGATGTGCTAGTTCATACAAAGAATCGGTCACATTGAAGTTTGCGTGGAGAACACCCAAGGTCTTTGAGTATTATGACACATACAGTTGCGAAAAAAAATAATAGCACCACCACAATACATTTTGTTCTTGATAAAAAAAATGCGTTTACTCTTGCGATTTTTTTAAATTTAAATTTTTTTTATATATTGCTTGGTATTCCCCATAAACAAAAACAGTGCTACCGCTCTTTAAATTTCTGTCTATATATTTTTTTCGGATTTAAAAACAAAAACCCCCCCAAAAATAGCGAAAAAACGAGAAGGAACGTGCGAGTCGCTTCTGGGGACGCGACTCTACTTATACCCGTACTCAGTCAGCATATACATTTTTGAGCATTGAATTTTTTAGAATTTTTTAATTAAGAAAAAAAAATATTTACATTTTAAATTTTTTAGCTACATCTGTTATCTACATCTACATATATTATGTATATTATACATCTAACATGTAGATTATACATGTACCATTTAGATTCTACATCTCCTCCGCAATGGGTTGCTCGCGCACTGAACGCGGCAGAGTGTGCGAGCGAGAAGGAAAATGAGTAGCATGGTCGTTGGCAGGAGAGGGCAGGGGAAGCAACTGAAAATTAATTTTCTTCATTCTGGCTATAATTATGATCCGATCTGATTCAGGCTCGGCAGTCTGGTAGATATGGGCATTCTCTACGATAATGCGTTTTTAGTTTTATCTTTAAAAATGTGCCTGCCACAGATTTTCGTCCTTTGTGGGGGCGGAAGGGGGCGGGGCGAAATTTTGAAATACACTTGTAGCAGTGGGATATCACATGAGTCTGGAAACCAAATTTGGTTGCCCTAGCTCTTATAGTCTCTGAGATCTAGGCGCTCATCGGGACGGACAGACAGACATGGCTATATCGACTCGGCTATTGATGCTGATCAAGAATATATATATTGATGCTGATCAAGAATATATATACTTTATGGGGTCGAAAACGTTTCCTTCTCTGCGTTATACACATCCACTTTTACCACAAATCTAATATACCCCTTAACTCTTTTTTGAGTACGGGTATAAAAAATAGCACCATTAGCCATTTTTTTTAGTGAATCACCTGTTATTCGCGGAATCGCGATTTTTAATTTTTAATTCTTGAGGAACCTATTTATAGAAAAGTACCAATTTGTTTTTGCAAACGATGCCACATTCTCTGGCTATCATACAGCATGCAATTTGCTGATAAAGCCGCTTACACAGATTTTTTCCTACAAATTGATGGTATAGATACACTTAATATGTACAGTTGTATTCAATGAAATAGTAGTGCCGCACCTCACTACTCTAAAAACTCATTTTGAGAAATTTCTAGCCTTTCAAATTGAACAAGTGATACCTTTACGGAAAGCCTGGAATGTAAGAATTAGAAACTCGAAGAAACCCTGTTACATTTGCATTCCATCTTCTTGTTTTTCATGACTTTAGACATCTACCCATGTTATCTGTTGTTCAATCAAATAGTAGATCTGGGTTTAATAAATTTTTAAAAATAAAAAAACAAAACAAATTTATTTAAATAAGCTCAGTTTCGAGGATGGTCGGCGATGGTCAAAGGCAAGACCAGGCCTTCAAAATCCCCAAAAATTATGAAACAAATTTTAAATTGCTCTGTCAGTGATGTGACAGTTCGTAGACGGTTGATTACACTAGTCAACACTAGAATTAGGCTGTGGCCCAAAATTTAGATTCTTATAGATTTCGGGGTTTAAAATTTTTTAACGAATTATGGTTTTTTTTTATGGTGAAGTTTTTTTTAAAAGAATTTTTAAAAATCTGGTATGTTTTTCATGGTTTTTTTCAGAGGTAGTGCATCTATTTGTCACACAATTTAAGTATCTTATATCTTGTTGCATAGAACTTTGCAGTTCTGAAAAGCTGACAAACGCAGCTACCATATAATACAACTTTACTATCATCAGTCAAAAGTATTTTTGTCACTGTGACACAGGTCATTCCACATGCGTTTTTCCAAACTGAAGTTCTGCACCCATGTACTACTCTCAGATCCAAACTCGGAGCTTTCTGGGTTTTCTTGCATTCAAATAATGTGTAACACTACTCGACAAAATTTAACTTTTGATTTAGGCTGTGAAATTACTTTTTCTGATAGATTTCGGGATTTACAAATTTTTGTAGTACTTTATTATTTTTTTATGGTGTCATTTTTTTTTACGAATTTTTAAAATCTGGTATTTTTTTTTTGTTTTTTCAGAGGTAGGGGTTCTATTTTTCACATAACTTTAGTATCTTATATTTTGTTGCATAGAACTTTGCAGTTCTGAAAAGCTGACAAACGCAGCTACAAATCCGACCCAGACACTTTGTATCTGCAGCTTAACGCCTGGAAGATATTAAGCTTTCAAATTCAAATTTCATCATTTTTTGCGGTATAACTTTAAAAACTCGGGAAAAGTAAAAAAAAAAAATTATTCTTCGCCAACATTTTTGGTTTTGGATAGACGTATAAATTGGGCGTCGTTTAAGCTTTAACTTTCCGTTTTGAAGGTAAATCAAAAATCAATCACCTGCCTGATGATTTTAAAATTTGTGCGCAAGTAAATCTGTATAGAGTTTTCGTACCTCAGCATTTAGTTATACATCAATTAATGTATATATTCGCACAAATATAGAAAGTAAACAAATTTGATGTTTTTTTTTTATTAATGTTTTACTATTCGATGTTAGATAATGGTGGTATGGCTAAAAAGACTTACACTTATACATGTACAGTTGCGAAAAAAATAATAGCATACATTTTGTTCTTGATTAATTCGAATACTCTTACGATTTTTTATAAATTTTAATTTTTTTTATATGGTTTGTTATTCCCCATAAATAAAAACAGTGCTACCGCTCTTCAAATTGGTGTCTATATATTTTTTTAGGATTTTGAAAAAAGCCCCAATCCAGAATCTCACACAGAGAGTCCAGTTTCTAGAAAGTAGGCTGGGTGAGACTCAAAACCTTACAAAAAAGGTAGAGGATCTGGAAGCCCAGCTTTTGTTAAAACTCGATGCACAGGCTAAGGCCAATATCGCATGCGACCTGAGGATCCATGGAGTTCCGTACGTCGAAGGTGAAAAGCTGAAACATATCTTCAACAACTTGTGCCTCAGCCTAAATCACACGCCTGCGCCTGCTATTAGGGATATCTATCGTATGAGGCCGAACAAAAATCTTCCCCACTCCATCGTTGACCCCATCATCATTGTCAAGCTGGAACGGGTGCGCGACAAAGCGGCATTACTGCGCAACATCGGTATGTACAGGCGGGAAACCAAGCAGCCCCTAACTCTGCAGTTACTCGGCCTAAACTTACCAGCCCCAGTATATGTCAACGAGAAGCTTACCAGGGAAAACTACCAGATTTTTAGAGAAGCTCTGAAAATGACGAAGCATCGGAAGCTGCAATCCGTGTTTACGCGCAGGGGTATGGTTCACGTCAAAGTAACCCAAGAAAGTGAGATATGGGAAGTTCTCAAAATTGAGGATCTGAGAGAGATGCAAGCTGCTACTGAGAGCCCTGCAGCTGGAGACGAGAATAGCTCGTTTCGTCAATAATAGAACTATAGGCAAATTTTTCATGTTAGCTATAAGTATTACCAATCTAACCACCTTCCTGTATTTTATTTTTAAGTGGGCCCCTAACTGTACTTACTGTAATAAAATTTTTCGTTGTGTTAAAACACACTTGATATGGACGGTTCATTAGAAATAACAAATGTGAATACATCTCAGGTCCTCAGAATTCAGGTGAAGCAAAAATCGGGTCTGCAAATCTGCCATATCATATCTGCCATGCCATATCACAAAGCTTGACAAAAAAAATTGACGAATTCAGACATATGTTTATCGACTCTGGTGTGGATTTTATATGTGTGTCCGAGACTTGGTTTGTCCCTGACTTAAGTGACTCGTTAATTGAATGTAGAGGATACAATGTATTTCGTTCTGATCGTGTAGGGCATGCCGGGGGCGTTGCAATATATATAAATAACAAGATATCCGAAAAAATCCTCTGTAAGCAACGACCAGATAGTGCCATAGAATACATATTTCTAACGATCACCATATATCGACCAAATCGAAACATTGACTACTCAGACCTGACATCACTTATTACTGACATTTCCTTGACTTATACAGACGTAATCCTAGCAGGTGACTTTAATTGTTATATTCTTAGAGAATCCTCATTAGCAGATAGCATGTTGAGCCCTGACTTAAATATAGTGAACCACCAGCTCCCCACACACTTTACAAAAACAAGAAACACACTACTAGACCTATTCTTTGTCGACAGTACTGACAAAATTCTACTATATGACCAACTCACAGTACCAGGGTATTCAAAACATGACCTTATTTTCTTGACCTATGATTTTAATCCTGACTACGATAATTATGACACCTTTTACAGAGACTTCAAGAACATTGACCTTGAAAAACTACACACTGACATTAGCATTCTTGACTGGACATCAAAACATTATATGTTGTCTGTAAATTCTCAGCTTGCCCAACTTCAATCAAACATTGACTATCTTTACTGTGAACATGTACCTATTAAGAGAAAGACAGTCAAACGAACAGATAACTCATGGTTCAACCCGGAGATAAAGCTGAGTATCATCAAACGAAATGAGGCTTTTAAAAAATTTAAAAGATATAAGACTGAAAGCCACTTTAATATGTACAAATCATTAAGATCAGACGTAACTAAACTAATATACTCTGCCAAGAGCGCCTTCTACTCGTCAAAGTTTAACAACGCTCTGTGTAGCAAGCAGAAATGACAAGTGATTAAAAGTATAGGAATTGGCAAAAAAAAACAAGAAACTCACTAGTTGACATGGACGTAAATGAAGTTAGCAAACAATTTTTGCAATTAGTTGTACCGGGCCCACCACCAACCCTGAACTTGACATCAGCGCCCTATAATTATACTGTTCCTAGCTTTAGTTTCTGTTGTGTTAGTCCTTCTGATGTTCTAGAATCCATTCTTAAGATTAAATCAAATGCTACTGGCCTAGAACGATATGAACCCGAAATTTTTGAGAATAATACTCCCTACAATCATCATGCACGTTACTCACATTTTCAACACAGCCATTACATCAACGTTCCCGGAAAAGTGTAAGGAGGCTAAAATAATCCCTATCCCAAAAGCAAACTCTGCAGAATATAGGCCAATATCCATACTCCCGACCCTGTCAAAAGCGTTCGAGACCTTGGTAGCTAAACAAATAAATTCATTTCTTACAGAGCACACATTACTAAACAACAATCAATCTGGATTCAGAACAAATAGAAGTTGCACAACTGCAATGATAAAAATTGTAGAGGATATCCGTGAAAGAATAGACGACGGAAATGTAACGTTCCTAACTTTTCTTGAATACACTAAAGCTTGACCATCGCATCCTCATCGCAAAGCTTCGCGAATCCTACGACTTCTCTGACTCTGCAGTACGGTCGCTATCATCCTATCTGCTAAATAGGAGCCAGGCTGTTGTTGCTGAAAGGAAAATGTCGTCCTTTGCATATGTTAAGTGTGGTGTCCCACAGGAATCAGTACTTGGCCCGATATTGTTCTCCATTGTACGCCGTACAATGTACACATGTACGCCGACGACGTCCAATTATATGGTAGTCGACCGTTAAATCGAATAGATGAGTGTATAAATGTTACCAATAGAGAGCTTGAGAAAATTAGTGCGTGGGCAACCAAAAATCGTCTATGCCTCAATCCAACGAAATGCTTGATTATATACAAAAACAAGAAAAAAATAAATGAAACTATATTGAGACGTGTAGAAATATCAAACACTCCCATTAGCTACATAGAGAAGACAACTAATTTAGGCTTTATAATAAATAGTACTCTGTCGTGGGATGATCATGTGAGCAAAGCAGTTGGAAAAACATATGGGATCTTAAGGGCACTTTATATTACCAAGCAATTTATACCAGTTAGCATCCGGATGCAGATAGCAAAAGCATACCTAGTACCTGTACTCACTTATGGGATTGAGGTATTTGGAAACTGTGGCTACGAAAACAGGCAAAAGTTGAGCGTGTGCTTTAATAATATAGCTAGATACATATTTAGATTAAGGCGCAGCGACAGAACCTCTGCATTCTCATATAAAATTTTCGACATGACTCTTTTCAAATGGATTGACTATAAGATGCTTACGTTCCTACATAAAATAATCCTCACCAGACAACCATAATATCTGTATGAAAAATTAAGATTTACCAATTCCGCAAGAACGAACAATATTATCACCATACGATATAGATCACTAAACTCTGAGAGACATTTTTTTGTGAATATTATTCGCATATGGAATCATCTTCCACATCACATGAAAAAAATACGAAACCTTTCACAATTCAAAACACAGTTAAGTGCCCACCTTACACTAGACTAAGATTTAAAAATCAAATTCAATTTAAAATAAAATAACACGAACATTAGCATAAGAAAACAAATCAATATATGTAACCACTTATTAGTATGTATATACTATATTAAAAGATTCATTTAGATCTAAGTTTAATACCAAACTAATGTGACACCTAGTGACTAGTGCTCTAATTATAAGCCCCTTGCTTGTAGCACTAGGAAATACAATAAACAAACAATACAATACAATACAAAATAGCAAAAGAAAATCACCATTAGCCCTTTTTTTGGTGAATCCCCTGTATTTCGCGGAATTTCCTTTGCAGAATACACGTGCTCATAAGTTTCGACTAAGAACTCATTGTTTCTATCATAAAAGTTAAAAATAGTAATTACAATGGTACGTGGAAAGCACTGCACTGCGGAGAAGCACGATCTTATAAAAAAAATTGAGACATCCCAAAAATGGAGAAATATTTTATGGTCAGATGAGTCCAAAGTGGCTATGTTTGGTGGAAAGGGATCTCGATCATACGTTAGACGTCCAAAGAATACTGCATACAAACCCCAGTACACCACAAAAACTATTAAGCATGGAGGGTGTAGTGTAATGGTATGGGCCTGCTTCTTCTACTATGGAGTAGGTCCAATACATTGGATAAAAACCATCATAGATCAGAACGTGAACGTGAATATCATGGAGACAGTAATTCTACCCTTTGCAGAATATGGAGTGCCGCTCGTATGGGTCTTTCAACAGGAGAATGACCCCAAACACACCAGCAAGAAAGCAAAGGAATGGTTCAGGGCAAACTCTGTGAACGTTTTTGAGTGGCCTGCTTAGTCGCCTGACCTGAATCCCATCGAAAATTTGTAGTTCGACGTCAAGAAGGCAGTTGCTGCTTCCAAGCCAACCACTATCGGATCACTTTGGGAAGATATTAAAGAGTCCTGGTCCAAAATTCCCCTACAACGATGCCAGGACTTAGTTGCTTCCATGCCAAGACGCTGCGCAGCTGTTATAGATTTAGTATTAATAGTTCAAAATGGTCAACTAATGAATTCGTTACATATTGCTTATTTTTTAAATTTTAAAACCATTTTTGAAAAGTGGTGTTTTTTTTTGCCTAGTTTTATGAATTTCAATAAAGTTCCTTAAATAATTCAAAAACGTTACCAAAAAATTTGATTTTTTTGTTGTATTTCCAGGTTTGTTAGTCTCCCATTTCGAAAAATGTGCTTAAAGTTTCCTTAAAGAAAAAATGTGAGTTTGGCAATTATTTCAAAATTGCTTGTGGTGGTGGTGCTTTTATTTTTTTTTCACAGCTGTATGTATTTCGAATGTACCAAAAAAATTAACAGGAAAAAATAAACAAAATGAACAAAAATTTAGTGACACGTTCAGTTCACTAACTGAAGTGAACAACTCTTTTTTTGTTTACTCACTCATTTGCAACCTAACAAACTAACTAATTATATTCTCTGTATTCATACTTAATTTCCTATTAATATGTATTAATTTAAATATAAGATAGCTACTTAGCTACCTGTGCACACACATACTTAGCATGCATACATACGTACTTTAAATATCTTTGCTTATTGACACGTCGCACCTTGACTACACTAACGGACAATTCTTCGAATGTGAGGTCAATTATGATAGGGGAGTGTAAGGTATCGTAGCTTGTAAGGTATGGTGGCGGATTTGTCAAATCTGGCATGTAACGTCACATCTGAAACGTATTATCACTGTGCGATCACATGTCTTTTATCGTGATGACATTTTTTATGCAGTAGTATTAATGGGGGGACGTGTGCTTTGTACTTTCAATAAAAAAAAGTACTGAAAAAAAAACCAAAAAAGGGTTATTGGATATGTGTTTTAACTGTTGCAGAGTGAAGATTTTTTGAAAATTTAGTCAGGCAAGTGGCAACATATGTGCGCTCGCACAGGTTGTACTGGCTGTACCTGCGACTCAGGTGTCCGTCGAAAGAGCATTTTAAGCGCTTCATTTGAGCGAGAAACGTAGTTCTTTAAGTGCAGAAACTTTAAATTCCTTATTAGTTGTTAAGGTTAACCAAGAATAAATAATAATATATATGTATGTATTATATTCAAGATTTAAAGACCGTTCACGCCCACCCGCCAGCTA